TTGTTCAGGGGGCCAGACCAAATGAGGAGGCGGGCCGGATCCAGCCCGCGGGGCCATAGCTTGGGGACCCCTGTTCTAAAACATGCTTGAAAAAAGAGAAAAAGCAATTGCATCTACTGTATTTATGCCAGCCATTAACTGAAAAAACAAACAAAGAAGCAAAAAAAAAAACAATAAAAAGAAAAAGAGACAAATAAATAGTTATTAGATGCAACATGTGCCAGCATGCATTACCTGGGGTTCTGGTTTCCAGTCCCATTCCAGTAATTAGTGAAACAGCTGAACAGCCATGTCACTGGCCTCGTCACAGTCTGGAAAACTGTTGAGTTGTTCACGTTGCTGAAAAAAACAGAACAATAAAATAATGTTAGAAACAATGGTCTTAGGATTTTGTAGCAACCTCAAAACGTTCTTGTTTAAAGAATGGTTAGCTTCCCAATTTAATACTATGCTAAGAGGAAAAATGAAAATGAATTGCTAATGGATGGCTATTTCTGAGGAAATACATTTTTAAATTTAAGGTCACCTAGTGGCAACTGATCTAATTACTTTAAAAATGTGTACCTGTTGTGCATTATGACACTTTATGTATATTAGGAGGTTTTTTTGAAAGCTTTGGTAAATATTTCCAATTTAGTATCAAAAGTTTATTTGAATATGTAGTAAAATAGCATGTAGCTCAACTACGGAGAGAATATTTTCTTGTTACTCATCTAAGTTTATTTGGACTGCTAAGAATGAAGATTAATGTTTAAACATTAAGTATGGGATACGATTAAATATCCAACAATAAACGTAATCATTCNTGATGACGCCCCGCTGCAGAGGATCAGAGGATCACGTTACATTGCTCAGCCAATCAGTGCTGCGGAAGAGCACGCAACTCTCTTCCCCCACACCCCGCTGAACAGTTTCCAGCAGCGCAGGCGACATTGTATTTATCAGAAGGGTTCAATGAATGCACATATGACACTGGGGGGTTCGGTACCTCAAAAAAGGTTAAGAACCACTGGGTTAGAGTATTAAAAAATTGTACTCCAATCAGAGTAGCATACCTTAAGTACTAAGTAACTGATCATAACACCTGATTTAATATTCAAAATATGTCATTATTATTTACTGTTAATCTGTTAATGATTTGTTCTTTAAATGACCACTTTATTTTATTTTGACTGATATTATACATTAAATTAGCAAATAATCAAACCTATATAATTGACTAAAAGCACAATAAGAAGCTTAATCATAGCAAAATGTTCTGCACCATATCAACCTCAGTACATAATTGAGGGATGAAGAGATGCTGATTTATGATTCTTTAGGTTCTGACGGGTCTGCAGTTCCTCTCCTGATCCATTCTGTCTGGTAGCACACTGTGCCACGATGGATACATTTTTTTAAATTGTCTTGTTTCATCCTCACTAACATTATTCAGCCTGGGATTTGAGTCTTCCTTCTCATGTCTGTGTCTCTACGAGAGGTTTTGCTTCTAAGGACGGTGGAGAATCGCATCCAGGATGTTTTAAAAAGACGCGGGTTGATAGCAGCTCTCTGCGGCTGCGTAGTGTCCATTTCTACGCAACCGTGACAACAGCGTCAGGCCGTAGCTTTCTTGGGGGTCTTATTTACATCCCACCACGAGAATTTAACTGACCTTAATATTTCCTGTGTTTAATTTTGGTCATTATTGTTGCATTTAGTGTTGATATGTGTGTGATAGGCGTGTCTATCGGACATTTATAGAAATACGGAACAAATCGCGTCCCGTAGCGAACCGCTACGGGACGCAACATTTAACAGCCAATTACGGGAAAGATTCCGTATTTTACGGGACGGCCATTTTTTCTTTATTTATTTAAGCCACAGACAAATGTTTAAATTTTATTCATAGAGCGGTTTTATTTATACCTTAAACTGTGACCCACCCCTAACAGTGTGAGCTGTATAAGAGGCAAAGCCCAGTTCAACTTTGTTGTTTCCACAGGGACCGTCTGCCGCTTGCTGCTCCACTCCACCAGAGAACAATGCCTGACAGTAAGTTCTTCAGGACTCTGAGCTGTTTGTAACATTTGATTACTTATTTATTTACTTATTTAATTTCCCTATGGGTTCAATAATGTAGTTTAGAATGTGAATTAATTTGGTAGACTTTTATATTTTATGTGCTGTTGCTGAACAGACTTTTATGTTAATTGTTTTCACAGATAAGAGTTCGGTTGTGGATTACTGCCGACGACATATTCGCATTTGTAGATAGATTTTTACCCAGAATGCAAATGGAAAAAAAAACGTGAG